CAAGTGCCCCACCTTGCCACTACCTGCGGGCGCCCATGACTACACTATACTCTGTAAAAAAGTAATGTAAACAAACTTATTCATTCTAGAGCTTGCTGTCAATTGTCTCGGTTCCTCCCCCCCCCCACCCCCCCCAAACCACTTTTTTTTTCATGGTATTTTGCATGCATCTGCATAGCTCTACAATGACAACAGGTAGACTACAGGTAGGCTTATAATGCATGAGTCCAAACATTTCATAAACACATAAAATTCCATGTTAGTAATATTTTCGTATTGAACAGTTTGGGTATTTGGGTAATGCTAACAGCTTCCGGTGCACCACACGGGGCGCGGAGACGTTTCAGTATGAACCAATCTTTATGGTGATAGCTATGGCCTCAGGAGCCTAGACCGACTCTCTTCTCCAACAATACATTTTGTGTTTCTAAATCTAAAGCGCGCTATGCACCGATTAGCGTCACCGCGTGTGCAGCAATGGCGCACCTTCGAACGTCTTCGCCCTCGCTCTCATTGGTCTATCATTGGATGAACCAGAATCGCTGATCTTTTTAAAAACCATTGACAGGCCTTGGGATTCCCCCCACCTCTTTCCAGCCCCTCTTCCTCTTTCCCATTCCGCGCTGTTGGCTTGCCAGGTCTTTGTGAAACTGTTACGGACATAACGTGCACTGTAGTAGTCAGTTACAGTTACATTGCTGTTTGAACGTACCGGCACACACGGTTGGTTACGTTGGCCTGATTCAAACTGATTGATTACGTTTAAATGGTTTTGATATAAAAAAAAAGGAAGGATACTAATGGAGTGGAGGCTCTGAAAGTAAGTTTATTTTTGTAATTGTAAAATTATTTCTCTTACTCCGTTATTCATTCTATCTCTTCTTTTTTAATTCCCGGATCTCTCTCTCTCTCTCTCTCTCTCTCTCTCTCTCTCTCTCTCTCTCTCTCTCTTCCCCACTCCACTTTTTTCCCTTCTACTCTCAATAAATATCTTCTAATTTCTACTATAATATTGATTTCTTTCATCATCGTGCTCTTCTCTCTTTCTCTCGCTTAATCTCAGAATTTCTTTGCTTTCTAACCGTCTTTATTTCTATCTCCCCTCTCTCTCTCTCTCACTCTCCTTTTTCTTTCCTTATCAGTCCAATTCTCTCTTCATCCTTGGGGACCATGCACGTACTGAGGGGGAGTTGTTGATTTGGAGGATTTCGCGTACATTTTGTTGCTGTACATCGTTCACACGTGTATAACCATGTGTACTGGAGGAACTAAATGCAAACAGTTTAATTGACAGGATCTTTGCACCCTCTCCCCCTCCACGGTGCCTTCTCACAATTAAAAAAAAAATGTTAATAAGAAGTGGTGAGTCAAGGTCCCCAAACTTGCTGGTCACGTCCTTTTGATTTCATAGGTATGGGGTCATGCTCAGGGAGGAATTGGGGGGGGGGGGTTGTCGAGTATTTGTGACAAAAAGGAGGGGGGGGGGGAGTCAAAAATTTGTCACGTTTCAAACAAATAAATTAAATCTAAAAATGTCTAATTTGTAATTTTGAAAAAAAAAATTATTTAATTAATTTCAAAAACATTAATATGACATCGAAATTGCCTCAGGTATTATTGATACTATGAAACTTAATTTTGTAATAATGCTAAATCCTAATTAATTTATGGGAACATATTAAAGAATAAAATAACATCTTAGCCTAGTTATGAAAATTTTATGTATGTTTTGAATTTTTTTAGTTGTGACGCGACACTGAAAAAAGGGGTGGGGGGGGGTAAAAAAAAATTTGTGAAAATTCGTGACAGGGGGGAAAGGGGGGTCTAAAAAGATCATTTTTAGCGTCACGTAATTTACGAATGACCCCCTATGTTTAAAATTATTAAAGAATAAAATAACATCTTAGCCTAGTTATGAAAATTTTATGTATGTTTTGAATTTTTTTAGTTGTGACGCGACACTGAAAAAAGGGGGGGGGGGGGTAAAAAAAATTTGTGAA